GATAACATGAAAAACGATGTATTTAAAAACTCAGAAAGCTTTCTTTTTGAAAGATGGCCAAGAACATTTTGGAGGTTGTTATACTTAATGTGTTCTTAGGTATTAAAAGAAACAAATCTTTTAATTAAATTTACCCTTCAAAAACCTTGGCCAAATAAAATGGAATTATCCTAATTAAGTCCCTTCCCCCACCTTCCTGTTTCTTTTTCCTGCAGCAAATTACATTGGTCAGTTCAGGCTTATCTAAAAATCCTTCCCTGTTCTATCCTCTCCCCTCAACCTATTTGGCACCAGTGGAAAGGGATTTCTGCCATCCATCCTGCCGGGAGCCCAGGCTCCTGTGGCCAAGAAGTCCTTGGTTCCCTCCAGAGTCCACGTCTCCTCCCACTGAGCGGCTCTGAAACAAGGGCCCCCCCACAGCTCGCCATGTCTCAGGAGCCCCCACACTCCTCAGCTCACCGTGTCTGAAACTGGAGACGTTTTATAATCCAGTTACCTGTTACTGGCTCAGATGGCAAGGGAGGACAGAGGGAGATGATCATTTTTGGGCAAGTCTTGGTGTTACCTGTACCTTTCAAACTAAGAATAGTCTGCCATCAGAGTGACCATTGGCCCAGCTTGTGCCTAGACACGAGTGGCTTTTGTTTAAGGAATGTATTGAAGTTGGCAAATAATACCACATCTGACCATTCTGTTCTGGTGGAAATGGTTGATGATATATGAAAACAGATACTTAACAACATTATCATTTGTTTGTAATAATACTGAGTCTGACACTCAAGTAACTATAATTAGGGTTTTTTTTTAATAGATAATTTTAATTTTTTAAAATTTCATTTTATTTTATTTATTTACTTTGCTATAGGGCACATGCACTCACCACAAAGAGAGAGAGGGAAATGAGAAAGTGAGCCACCAGGTCTAGGACTTGACCTATGCTCAGCCCTGTGGGAGTCCAGCACCTTACCCAGCATGCCAGCTGTTGGCCCTAGGGCTTTCTGTAGTATCTAAGTTATGTCCTTTATCCCCAAATGCTTGCAAATGCAAAGTAGAAAGTGTATATCATTCATTTTAATTCCAGTTTATAATGAAACTATTTGTAACAACTCAACTTTAATTTTATATATCAAATAGCTGAAAATTCAATAAAAGAAAAATCAGCACTTGCATGACAAAGCACCTTCACATGAATTATCTTACAGCCTACATCTCAGCAAGTTAATCAGGACAGATACCTAGTTGTCTTCATTTCACAGAGAAAAGAGCCATGACTCAAAAACATTAGAATTCAAATGCACGGTTCCACCACTTTCTGGGTGCCCTCTAATAAGTCACTTAATCACTTTGTGCAATTTCATTTATCGTAAAACAGAATTTAAAAGTGTAGGGACCAGCAGATAACGTAACGGCTACATCATTGGATTCCCTTATGGCCGGTGTGGTTCCTGGATCCAGTGGCTTGAAAATCACGCCTGGCATGTGTGCAGGCATGCCCAAGATCCTGGGAAGAGAGTGAAGGAAAAGGAATTGTGGTGTAGCCATGTCCCCCCCACCCCCAATGAACGTACATGCTCTAAGGCAAAAACCTCTAAAAAATAGTGTAAACAGGGTGTGTGTGAAGACGAAATCAGTTACAACACAGAAAGTACCTAGAACAGTGCATAGTACGTAGTAACTGCTCAATAAATGTTAGCAATTAGCTGTTACCACCACACAGCCAATAAACACTCAGACTTGGATCCAGATCCACACCTCCTGACTCCTAGTCTGCCGTGAACTCCTGCCATAGCACCATGTGAAATTTACCTTTCAGTAAATCATCGATTTAATTTCCACCTCACAGGAACCTTGTTTTTCTTCAAGGGATCTTTTTCTTTGTTTCTTTTGACCCTTAATTTCTCAAGGCCAAAAGGGAAATGTGTTCAAAAGATTCTTCCTTCCTGTTTAGTTTTTTTATTCTTATTATTTATTTATTTTGTTAAATCTTCTGATTTCTGTTATCATCTGGGTTTGGTTGACCTTGAGGTATCAGATGATGTTTTAGCAGGTGAAGGTATCAACATCATTTTTATCGGTGGTCTGGGTGTTTCTGGTGACTTTTGTTTTGGTTGGAAGGCCTGAGGTAGGAATTGGAGTCGAAGAGACCCCTGGCTGCCCCTCATGTAGCGCTAAGAGAATACTGTCATTACAGAGAGGGGCCACGTGCTGACCTCGGAGTAAGGGTGATGTCGTGAAAGGGCCATCCTGAAGACGTTGCTGAACTATTATGGGTCCTGGGATGGGAGAAGCTGCTCGTTGCCCTTTCTCCGTGTGGTAATACACTTGCAGCAGGCTCTTACATGTGAGCGCCAGTTGGCTTACTTTGTCTACTGCCGGTGCAGACCTTTCTGCTGTGAGAAAGGCCTAAGTGAAAATCTGCGTGCTGTGGCTGCTACTCGGCTGCTACAGGGAGCCGTTCTCTCTCCCCTGACGGTCAAGGTCAACTCAGAACTGGATTGGATGTGGAAGATTGCAGAGGTGGACAGTGACAGGGGACAAGGTGCAGTCAGCCTGGAGGCCTTCCAGAAACGAAGTTAGAGCAAGCCCCAGCTCACGGAACATGCCTACCACCAGGCCTTTGTTGTTACTATTATTTCTAAATTTGCTAGAGGGTATGTGTGCTTGCTGGAGAGAGAGGGGGAGAGAGAGGGAGGGAAGTGAGTAATCACTTCCTGGAAATAGGGCCACACTGCAGTCCTTTCTCCTCCATTCTCCTCTTGGGATTTTGGGCACACACAAATGTTTTTCAAGTCACCAGTTCAGGACTCAAAACAGGAGTCGGCCTTGTGGGATCCAGCTGCCTTCACCACCGCACCACCTGCTGGCCGTGCCAGGCCTTTCCGATATGCATTCTGTGACACAGAGAAGCTGCTCTCCAAGCGCAAGATGTCTGTTATGGTTCTTATCAGCATAAGAACCATGTGGAAGAGCTTTACTTTTAAAGTATTTAACCTGGTCAGGCTAAAGTTTTGAGAGAACCTACAGAAAGCTCCTCCTCTTTGTGATATTTGCATTTTTTAACCTCACTCACCTCCAATGTTCTCTTTAGCCAGTATAAGAAATGTTATTGCATTAAAAGAAATCACTGAATTGTTAATAGATTCCCTGTGACTTGGTCTCACGCAATACTGTTTGCAAAAGAGAAAATTCATAAAGAAAGTATCTTTTTGGGACCAACAAATAGTGTAATGGTTATGCTGAACTCCCACATGGTTGACTGGGATCGAATCCTGGACCCGGAGGCCTGAAACTCATGCCGGGCACATGTACGTGTGCGTGTATGTCCAAAACCCAAGAGGATACGGGAGAAGGGGATTGCAGCATGGCCATCCCTCTGAGGGGTCATTCCTTGCTTTCTGTCTCTCTATCCAGCAAGCACACAAGCCCTATTTCAAAAATTTCTTTTTTAAAAAACAGTTATCTTTTCTAGTATTGCAGTTAGTTTTATTTTTTCTGCTAACTACCTCCTGATTCTCTGACCTATTTAGTCTGAGAGCAAATCCCAGAAAATAGCCATGGTTCCCAACCCCTAGGCAGCCCCACTGGCAACTCCAAGCCCACCCACATACGTGGTGCCTTCCTCTACGCAGTGGCTCTGCCTGTTGCCGTGGCCACTCTGGTGTAAGGGGAGTGGCTCCAGTGGATTATGAATTAAATATCTGTTCTTCTGTAGCTGGGGGTCTTCTCCCCATCATGCTGGTTTCCAGTGCACCAGAGGAAGGCAGAGTTGGCAGTGCTTTCCTTCGGGGTCAGCAGCAGGGCTGGGATTGGAGCTGACAGCTGACAGGTTTAGCAAACTAGCACTTGCAGAGGGCTGATACTGAGTGCGCAGGTTTGGCCTAACACACGATGAGCCCCTGCCCAGCTGCGTTGTGGGGGCCCGTGTGGCAGCAAGTGCCAGCCATGGCACGTGAACGTCCGCCGTCCTCGATGAAGTCTTCGCTGAGCCTTGTTCCTGGGCTGCCGTGGCACTTCCCGTCCCCAGTACCTCCCTGAGCCTTGTAGACAGCAGTTAGTTGTCTCAGTGTCTGTTTCTTCTACCACATGAAGTCTCCTGACGGCAGGAACCTGTTCTTACTCATTTCAAGGCCTCACAGATGGTGTCCCGCTGCGGACAGTCGCCCCAGTACCTCTTGCTAAACTGATCCGAAGCTCACTGGCTGTGTCTGAGGAAATCCCGCAGTTAGTGTCCACCTTTCTAGACCGTAAGCTCTGCTAGGAGAGTGACCCTTAGAGAAACAGAGCTTCGCCATCAGAAGTAACACACAGAAGCGCAACAACTTATTGCTAAGTTTTTTAAAAAAACAGGTTTGTCGAGATACGTTACATACCGCATAGTTCACTAACTTAAAATGCCCAGTTCCGTGGTTTCCAGCACGTTCACGGAACTGTATGGCCCTCGCCACAATCAGTTTCAGAACATTTTTATCATCCCCAAAAGGAATCCTGTGCCTGCTCTCTCCAGCCCTTCCCACCAAGTCCCAAGCACCCACTACTTAGTTTTTGTGTTTTAATAGATTTGCCTATTCTGGAAATACGAGTTTGTGTCTAGCTTCCCTCACTTAGCATGATATTTTCAAGGTTCATTCCTGTGCGTGTGAGGCCTAGAGCTGGGTGGAAATGAGAGGGCAGGGGATGCGGGTGATAACCTGGCCAGTGTTGTAGTTCCGACTCAGGCTGATGGCGCGTTTCACTGTCCTCATTAAAGGTGACCAGAGCTACCCAGTGGGAATCCCACAGACACGTTCTGAACTTGCTCCCACGAGTAACAGTGAGAACTAAACCACACCTGTGCACACCTAACACAGGGCCTGGCCCATGAGGGTCTCAGTGTCCTACTCGAACTTCTTAGATTTTCGTAAGAATTGGCCAAAAGGAAGCAACAGACAGTTTTTTAAATGGTACTCGGAATGTAATTTACTGATGTTCCCCCCTGCCCTTTTGTTTCTGTTCTCCCCAAGGCTACGCCTTTCTGCTGTTCCAGGAGGAGAGCTCCGTACAAGCTTTGATAGATGCCTGCCTAGAAGAAGATGGGAAACTGTACCTGTGCGTGTCAAGCCCCACCATCAAGGACAAACCGGTGAGCAACATGCAGCCACTGTGGCTTTTCCAGAGCATGCGGGCGGTTGGAATAGCCGATCTCCTCCTGGGGATGGGATCCCAGTTAATAAGGGCCCTCTTACCAGGTTGACCTTGCTCTGCAGGAGAGCTGGGCTGTCGGCGATGGGCCGCTCACACCTAGTCAGGGTTTCGTTTCTCCCTTTGTGACTGTGTAGACACATGTTCCCTTGTCTTCCACTTACAGCTCATTTAAGCTAATTCCTATTCAGAAACTCTGAATCGATGTAAATAATGCTCTTAGTGGTTTTAGAAGCTGGTTTCTGTCACTGTTTCAGATCAAGGACAGGAGTAATGTCTTTTAAAGAGACAATCACGGTCGTTCCT